CCACTTAATATAATATCCAAACTAAAATTTACCGGTCAACGTTGATTAAAAGAGAAAAAAACATACATTTCAATATTGTGTAGACCATCCTATTTTAAAAGCGAACAAAATATAATATCCAACTCGCATCATTCAATTCTATCGTTTACTCTAATAGGGTCTATCAACATTCGCCCTTGTCATCCAAAAGCTCATACATAGTTTGAGGGTCTCCTACCATGACCTCCATTTCGTGGATCCCCCCCCCCCCCCCCCCACCCCAAATGCCATAACTACCCAAAAAAAAATTCATATAACAAATAATGTTTTTGTTCAATGGATCTGCGTGGTCCTATAGTTGAATGGTGACAAGTGCTATAGAGCAAATTCACTATCTCGAATAGGGCTAGAAACAGTGTGGTCTGGTCCAGACCGAACCATATATGCGGTCTATGGTCCAGACCGAGAGGTTAGAGTATAGATCACAGATCATACCACAGACTATATGATCTAGACCAGACCATGCCTGCAATGGCGGATCCAGGGCTGGGCCAACCCAGGCCCCGGCCCAGCCCTCCTCCGGATCTAGAGTTAGTTTAGTGCTTATAAAATTTTCTATTTAGGTATTTGGCCCAGTGCTATTTAAAATTATGTCTAGTTTTATTTGATAATAGGATTTTGTGTAACTAGAAAAATGGTTCAGATGAACATATCCAAACCATTACTCTAAATTTATACTAAATTTTCTATATCCCCAATGATTTTATTTGAAAAAAGACATGAAAACCTAAAAGTGTAAAGTTTCATTAAAAAAAAAATCTAAACTAAAGCACACCATTCCGTTCAAAATTCAAAAAATTTCCCAATCCCCCCAAAACAAAACAAGAACGAGGAGACTAGCAGATCCAAAATGGATTTCTCCTCCAGCCCGTCGAGCTCGTTTTCTTTCCATTGTTTTGATTAAGAAAATATTTACAGACTTGCTGAGTCATCATTTAGATTGCCTCAATTGAGTGGGGCACTAGATTCTAACCGTTCTTTCTGGTGTTTTGATGAAGAAAATATTTACAAACTTGCTCAAGAGTTTAGCCTCGAGACTTTGAAGGCTATGTGATGCATTCTTTGGAGAATGTGTGAGGATGAAGTTTCTTCTCTTGCAAAATTATTAGAGAACCTGGAGGAAACAGGGATGGACACATAATACAAATTGATTTGTCGGTTGATTTGTCTAGTGTTGACCTAGCCGTTTCAACAACTACCATGAAGAGAATATTTTCAGCAATGGAACATGAACATTGATTTGTGCAACAAAATGAGCGATGAATTTCTCGTTGATTACTTAGCTATTTTCTTTGAAAAAGAGTATATTATTAGTATGGATTGAGATTATATTATTGATGAATTTGCTAAATTAAAATACCTTCTTGTACAATTGGCATTGTAATGAAAACTATATTATTATATATTTTTGTTTATGGTATCTAATATTCTATTCAAATACGGCCCAGTGCTCTCTTATGTCCTGGATCCGCCGCTGCATGCCTGTGCGATCTGGTCCGGTACGGTTTGATCTAAGTAGACCATAGTGAAGGAAAAATGAACAATTTAATTAGCCAACCGCACAAAAAAATTGAACCAACAGCTAATAAAAAATATTTTATTTCCTTAAAACTTAAATTCCTACATGCATGGATAATTTTGACACCGTGAATCTTAGTAAATAATAAAGATACAAAGTCAAACATCCCAACTTATCCCATAACGTCATAAACATTTACATAATGTCATATTGAGACATGATCGTCTCTACTCTCTAGTGAAATGTGGTTGTTAATGAAGGAGGAGATGAGATTTTCAAAATTAAGATTGAGACTTGGGTATCATTGTGGGAGTTGGGAGAATGATCTAGTGGGTTGCTAACATGTATTGAGAAGTCTGCTGGGTCCACGGTTTGGTCCGGTAAACTGCGGTCTAGACCATACCAGACTAAGAAATTAAAACATCATATAATACAGATCATACTTAACGGTCTACGATCCGGACCAAACTGTGCGGTCCGGTTTAGACCATGATTTTTCAAACGGTATGTTATACTTTCCCAGCCCTAATCTCGAAGTATAAATTTTTAACCTTGCTTATTATTCTTCGCAGAATAACTACCCAAGACTATAAAATTCCGTTAAAGAAATGTAACACTTTAGTCCCTTAGATTACAATTTTGATGATAAGTAATCCGATATTTTATCTTCTTCAATTAGGATAATAAGTTACTCTTTCATAAAATTAAGGATATATTTTATTCCTCTTTACTTTTCATTTTTATCCTCCTGAAAAGAAATTTTTTCTCTTCCGGGTGTATTTTTACTTTCATTTATTACTTTGTAACCTTTTTTTTTTAATTAAAAGGCAAGGGATATCTCCACCATTATATAAACACCAACTCTTTTTGGGATTGACATAAACTCAAACCTGTCATTTCCCCAATAGAGAGCTCCCTTCTGCTACTTTTCCTTATTGGAGAAATGGTTCCTAATCCTCCCCCTTTCATCTCTAACAGTAAGTCATTTTTCCTTCACAAATTCATATTCTGTCATTTTGCTTATTTACATATTCTCTCAAGCAAATCATCTCCTCTCGTCTTCGTTTGGTTTGGTTTAGTATTGTTGATTGTGTTTTTCACATACATATAACTTATCTATTCGTTATTGAGAGTTTGGGACAAAAAATATCGATCTCTCATCTTCATTCACATAAATTCAATTAAAATCGAGTGAGACCATGCACGTAAGGACACGAGGAAATTGTATAATAACAGTCTTTGGACCTTCTCGGGTGACACATAAGTTGTTAGCTTGAGAGATTCAAGATTCTCAGATCTCTTGACAACTCAAACAATTGAGGGAAATCCAAGAGTACATCTTATATTATCATACGAAAACAACTAAATATCAAGTAAGATTATTTTAATATGTCGTTTGAATGGGTTATTTGTGAGTGGTACTCGAGGCCAAACACTATATACGTGGTATTTGACTCCAAATATCACATTTCGATCACAGAAAATGATATTTCAATTGTGGTGTTTCTGAATACTACAATCATGGTATTCTTAAAATACTAGGGCAGGCTAGTACTATGAGAATAACCTCTTTTTCTCCCAATTTTTTTAAAGAATCTTTGTTTGTAATTTTGATAACTTGGGGATAAAAAAAATTATACATCCTCACATGTATCCAACCGATTTTGAGTCGATTTCACGGCAAAAATTCAATCAACATATAATTTTTGGATGCATTTTGTCCGAACTTGACAAAACGATGATTGTTTTGTACGTGTTTGATATTTTAAGTATTCGCAACTAAAACTAGCTGGCTATATGCTAAAAGTATGCTCTAAATCCTCTCAATTCGTCATTTAGAAGATTCATATAATGATTAGAGTTATGATTTTCTCTTAGTCCGGATGTTTGTTTATTTTTTTCGTTGAATCAGTTCTTCCCATTAAAATAAACAGTCGTCTGATACAACGAAAGGGAGAAAATCCCCCTGCAAGCAAAACAACACCAAGATAGGACTGCCTATCTCAGAATCCTCCACATCACTACACACCTACTAAAACAAATACAGATTCAAAACCCAAAACCCAATCTTTGCAAATCACTTCTTAGTGTTTCATTAAACAGACATATATACTTTAAGTCCTGCAAAACCATCCTGCCCAGAAGATCAGCACTGCAGCTTTTATCCCCATGCATCCTCTTGCACCTTTCTTTCCAGATCATAGCAGTGCACAAACACCATATCTTCCCCACTTGTCTCCCTGCAGCTGTGCTCTTGTGACTCAGCATACATGTTTGTTTATTCTCCATAATCTTTTCTAAATAATATCTTAGAAATAAAGTAAATCAACACTTTGAGAAAAGTTACACTATTTCAAGAATTGAAGACTTGAGTTTACAAGGATTGTGTGGGTGGGTTTCACTATCTCATGTGAAATCTTGGGGAATGATATTTGGGAAATGATAAAATATTGGGTGAAAGAGCATTTAAAGCTAAAATCTTCCGGATATAAGTCCAATACCTTATTGAGGCTACTATTGTCATATATAGGGAAATGATATTTGCCAAATAGTCATTTTCTTCTATATAGGTTAATATTTACATGTTGAGTGAGGTAAGTTACCAAGAATAAACCATAATTCTTATCGTTATCTTTTACGAACAAAAAATTAAATAATATTAACAATATAAATTACCATAATTTATATAAAAAACGTACCGTCATAAACTAGTTACCGTTGGACAAGCGTAAAGAAAATGAAAGGAAAAAATAATAAATGTACCACACAAATATAAATAGAACAAAACTATCGACAATGTAAGGTATTTTGTCCAAGAAATAACAAAAGAAAAGTTAAAATAAAAAACACAAACCCTCAACCCATGAACCCTCTCCAAGCAACAAACTAGTGGACCCAACATAAAAATTCAAATGAAGCAAATATCATGTGTTTCTTGTAGTAGTATTACTCTTGTGATTGTTTTTTTTTTTTTACGATTTACGCATTTTGTATTTCATTTCATTATCATGGGCGGATTTGAGAATATGTTAATTGACATGTGTTAGGTAAACTATTTGTCATGCATATGTGAAAATTTGTGCTCTTTAAAAAAATATGAAGTATGTTGATATTGTTTCTGAGAGTGCTCATAACTCGAAACGACCTGTAACTCGACCCGAAATCGAATGAGTTTGGTCAATATTTGACCCAAAAACAGCCAACCCTACATAACCCGACCCATAAACGGAGGCCCCAACCCAACCCAAGTACCCGGTCTAAGCTCATACTAATAAGTGTTAAATCATAAGCAAAAACGAATGGGACACCATAAGACAAGAAGTGGGGATACAAACACCTTCCAAAAATCCCATGTTCACAGCCTGATGTGTTTGTGTTACACACATATGTGCACTGTCTTTGATTTATTCCTTATATAATTCCATAAGTATATTGTACAGGCATGGAACTACCCCAAAATGATGGTGATTCTCTGGGCAACCTACTGGAGGAATACATCCAGTCAATAGACTCCCCAAACCAGTTCAGTGACAATGGTTGGTTCATTAACACCACCCAATCCACAGTGATAACCACCTTCACTAGTGAAGAAGCTGGGAAAGACCTCCTTGAGGAATTGTTAGAGACACCTGCAACCTTTGATCATCAGGATGAAGGATTTCATGGTCACAATCCACAGTATGATTTTGTTGATGATACTAATTTCTTCCCTGAAACCATTGAGTCATTGTTCCCAATCAACCAACTTGTGGAACAAGATTGGGCATTTGGGCCGAGTCAAGGAGATTTGGGTTCGAATACGAATTCGGCTGTGGAAGAAATCGACGGTACGTTTTGTGATTTACAATAGCAACTGCTCATTATCATTCTTTCGTTTCTTTTTTTGTTGTGCGCGCGTTAAAGAATATTAATTCTCTGCGTTATGGATAAGGGTTTATGGTCTAATATATATATAGTATCTTATACATTGTTAATTAAGTGTAATTTGTAAAATGGAGTCTTCATTTGAACCTTTGTGATTATGAATGGTATATATAGGCTGGCAGGATGTGAATCTCAAGATGCACACTTGAAATGTGATTCATTGGAAAAAAAATATAATTATTAGATTATTGTATTAGATCAAGTAGTACTAGCTATGAGTTAAGACAAGATGACTCATCCTGAAATGTGATTCATAGGGAAAAAAATACAATAATTAGATTATTGCACTTTAAAATGGAGGGCAAAAATTAAAGCCAAGATAAAAGTGGTAAATTCAAATTATTCAAAGAGACATGAGTTCACACTCAATAACATTTATGTCAAAACTAAACAGTATAATAGAAGAATATATGACTCTGTTGGGTTAATGGGAAACAACTCATTTGTTCTTTGTTCCTTCTTTTTTTTTTCTTCTCTAAAAGTCCTTTCTTTCTTTAACATAAATATTATTATTAATTAATTAATATATATATAAAACTAAATTCAATTTACTGTTCGGTAAGAGATTAACTAATTTACACTACTGTTAAATGTTTTACTAACCTAAAGAAGCTCTTTATTAAGGGATGTAGTGAGAAACACCAGTGTAGCTTAATTGCCACCGGTAAGAGGTAAAGAAACCCAAAATGGCTACCACTTAATCTCTAAACAAAGATTTTCTAGCCAAGCGTATTTCATTTGTTTAAGTGAGTAGAATGGGCACCTACATTATTTCATGTCCACATTAAATGTGAAATAACAATAAACTAATGCAATTTTGAATATAAGTTGTTGAATGTTTAAAAATATTATATGGCAGGTTGAATGTTCGTGAGAGAAATAACAATAAACTAATGCAATTTTGAATATAAGTTGTTGAATGTCTGAAAAATGTTATATGGTTGGTTGAATGTTCGTGAGAGAAATAATAACAAACTAATGAAATTTTGAATATAAGCGGTTAAATGTCTGAAAAATGTGATATGGTAGGATGAATGTTCAAGAGAGAAAAATATTGACTTTCCAAATTAAATTTTTTATTTATCTATAAGTTGACAGAAGAATAGTTGTTGTAAATTGTTATAAATGTAATTTTAGTGAAGAAGTTTGTAATGGTAGCATCAGTTCCATCTAACCCGATTCAACACTCTAGCCCTATCCAATTCATTAACTTGAACGGTTCAAGAATAACATGCTCGTCAGTCGCCACAGGAGCTAGAGTGTGGTGCACGCATATAAAGTGAAATCAGAGTTATTGTTCACTAAAAAAACTTTGTTAGTTCTTTTAATGTTAATGTTTATGCATTTATCACTTTTCAATCTTCACATAATTCATAGCTGCTGGTTTTTTCTTTGAAGTTGTGAACTTTTTGTTCCATAGTTTTCACTAAAAATTGGGGCATCATCCCCTTTTCTTTGGTTGATTCGGTAGAGATCAGGGAGCACAAAATTGTTTGTTCTCGTGGGTTTCTAATAAAATTCAAATCGATTTACTGAAAATTAATTCAACTAATATAATTTTTGGATGACTTTTCTTTCCATCCAACAAAAGTAGTAATGTTTTTGTATGTAGTTTTCTTATTTTAAGTATTCACATCGAAATCCATGAATTATGTGCTACAAGTATGCTTTAAACTTAGGGGTCGTTTGCTTCAAGGATTTGGTACATGGATTTGGTACCAAAAAACCAACTATCAAGGATTTAGGTACAATTCTTTGTTTGCTTGCACCTTTTTTTGAGACCAAATCCGTGGGGCCCACGGATTTTAATGGTCCAAATCCGTGGACCCCACAGACTTATAAATCCCACATGCTGATGTGGGATTTGGAATATGACATAAATCCTTGATGAGATTTTACCCATATACCCTCATGCACTTTTAATATTCCAAGGTTGCCCTCAAATTTAACTATTATACATTATAATTAACAATAAATGAATAATATAAATGTTCAATTAATGTGCAAACATGAGTTAGATTTTTTATATCATTTCTTGTGTTCTAGTTTTCTTTGACCTTTTCATGGAACGTGTAATTTTTTGTTCTCCCGATTCCAATATATGTTGTTATATGTCACTTTTGAAAAGGAGGACAAAGAATTGGTAATTGATTATGTTACGTTAAAAGTTAAAACGGAATTTTCTCGTTTATTATTATTGTCCATGTGGCAACATTATGCTTATTAGTATGTATTGTCCTTGTTTTGTGTACATATCATAAACATGTCAAACATATAGAAAATGATAGTAAGGTAATTTTGAAGTTGTGTCCTTGTTTTGTGTACATATTATAAACATGTCAAACGTATAGAAAAGGGCAGTAATGTAATTTTTGAATTCAAGTAGTAAATCCCACACCTTTAAATCCATGATAAAAACATCCCAACAAACAAAGGATTGATACAAATCCATGATGCCTCAAATCCTTGATAAATCCTTGGGTTTTTAAATTACAAAACCCTCATTTTTAAATCCACGAAGCAAACGACCCCTTAGTCAATTCACCATTGGAGCACTGATACCCACAAAATTTATTCTATATTATACACTCCAATCAATCTACAGTAGGGCGTATAATTGTTGGTTACGTTATGCATGTCTACATAAGTAGAACTGATTTATTTATTTTGAGTATGATAAGATCTAAAGGGTGAGAATAAAAAGTCTTTTATTTTTTCCACTTTTTTATTAATTTGTATCTTCTTTGTTTTCGCTCGAAACTAAATATTTTTGGCACAGATGGAACAATTAAAAGATGGTGTCAATTTATACTTAAGCCGAGAACTTAAATTAGTCAAACAAAGGAACCGAGTTTGAGAAGTTGTTTAACGAAATTGAAGAAATTTAAAAATGAAGTTATTATATTTTGATGAATAAATGTTGAAACCCCTTTGTAATTATGTATTATGTTGCTCCAATTCATATATATGATTTTAGCATGAGTCAATGTAAGTCTAACACATAAATAATAACATTGTTTTGACTGTCATGTGTTCAAGTTCTATCAATTAAAAGTCAAAATGAAAAAAAAATACAAACCACACTGTCAAAAATAAAACTAACCTTGGGCCGTTACTGAGCTCGGCCGCCACGTATCTAGTATATATATATTGAAGAATCCAATCTATTTAATGCTTCATAAAAGAAAAAAAAATCCTATGAAAGTTTTGATTTTCCTTAGAATTCAATACCTTTTAGCATGAGTCAATGTAAGTCTAACACATAAATAATCACATTGTTTTGACTGTAATGTGTTCAAGTTCTATCAATTAAAAGTCAAAATGAAAAAAAAATACAAACCACACTGTCAAAACTAAAACTAACCTCGGGCCGTTACTGAGCTCGGCCGCCACGTATCTAGTATATATATATTGAAGAATCCAATCTATTTAATGCTTCATAAAAGAAAAAAAATCCTATGAAAGTTATGATTTTCCTTAGAATTCAATACCTTTTTCATTTATTGTGAATCTGCCTAATATGTTTGCATGGGTGGATAAATGATCATAAAGGTGTAGTTGGTAAGGAAATCTCTGTGGATAATCATGGTGGTGACAGCTCTTCCATATTAGCTGAGCCTGTAGAACAAATAGCGCCACCACCACATTCTGCTTCTCCCATTGTTCCTCTTCCGTTAGCTTCTTCACATACAACTACTGCCAGAGAGAAACCATCAAGAAGGGGCAGATACTCTCTTCAAGAATTTGCAAAGCTCCAGGCTGAAGATCCAGAAAAAGCAAACAAGTATGTATAATTGAAACTCTTTTTGTTGTGCTTGTTTTTCTGAGTTGGTTTTGCTTCGAAGTCAAGTAGGGTGGTTATACGGTACAGTCCGGTTAAATTGGTTCGAATTGATCCGGTCCCGGTCCGGCCTTGATTTTAGATTGAACTTGTGGAAATTTGAGTGGTCTGAGACCTCAAAAGGTGAGGAGTTGGTTAAGTTTTGGGTGTTGGGCTCTCCTATCCGGTCTTCATCCGGTTTTCGATCCGGTCCGAAACGGGTTTTTACCTCAAATCTAACCCCAAAGATGGGATTAGATTGTTTGCTATCGGGTTCCGATCCGAGTTATACGGTCAGGTTTCGGGTAAACCCAAAAAGCCCGGACCAAATCGCCAGCCCTAATATCAAGTGTTAATTATTAGTCGTTCCTAATGATATTTTTGTTTAGATATCCAAACATGTTTCATGGAGACATCATACAAGTTCTTAATACGGTCAAATGAAATTGAAAGTTAACTCGATCGCTAGTTTGAAATCCGAACAATGTCGAGATATAATTTGCTTTATTTTGAACTATGGCTTTGTATTATGACATTGGCACATAGGATGTTGAAGAATCGAGAGCTGGCTTGTAAGGAAAAGGAGAGGAAGAAACTCGCAGCAACTATCCTCGAGAAAGATTTGGAAAAAGTCAAAACGGAGGCCTCTCAATTGGGCTCTAAATTTGAAGCGATGCAGGTATTTAATTAATAATTGTGTGCTTAGCTTCAGGTTTTTTAACATCTTAAGCTTAAATTGTATTGTAGAAACAATTAAGTGGAGCACTTCTACTATGCTATAAGGTATTGGTACTTTAATGTACAACTTAAAGTTGTACCATAACATTAAATGTACAAGTTCAGGTTGTACCATAAAAGAATTTGTGCTCTTATGTTATGGTACAACTTTATAACTTAAACTTGTACCATCAAATGAAAGTACAAGTTTAAATTGTACCATAAAACAATTTGACAAAAGAGTATAGGTACAATCTGAAGTTGTACCATAACGTTAAAGGTACAACTTCAAGTTGTACCATAAAGGGAAAAACCTATAGCACCAATATTATATAGCATTATAAAATTCCTCTACATGAGAATATAATTCATTATGATCCAGATCATGCATAAATTTTTCTTCTATCTCTGGGCATGTGTGTATATGTGTGTGTGTTGACCAACTAATGCAACTAATGATGATCAGCTTGAGAACAAAAAGTTATGCGCTGAAGGTGCAAAACTGAAACAACATCAGGCTTACCTCCAGAACCAATTGGCCCATCAAGACGGTAAATTAATTCCTATTCTCAATCTTTTCAATTTCTGCTAGCTGTATTTGAATCTCTAGTAAATCATACATAATAAGAAATCACATTATTATATCTAATTAGTGATGGCAATGGGGCGGGGCGGGGCGGGGCGGGTACCACAATTCTCATGCCTCACCCCACGCTACTACGGGGCGGGTAAAACCCGCGTGGGTACGGGGCGGGATGGGTCGACTCACTCTTACATGTTATTCGAAAAAAATACAAGTAAATTTTACTTTTTACGATAAAACGAAGGGTAAAACACTTTAAGAATGAAAAATAGTGATAATAGAATGGGTAATTGAGTCTAACAAGTTGAAAGAGCTGACTCTAACCAGTTGAAGAAAAGTCAAAATAGGAGAAATATGTATAGAAATTGTAAGAAATTGAGATAAAATGAGTCTAGAACGGGGCGGGGTGGGGCAGGGCGGGTCGGAAGTAGATACCCATGCCCCGCCCCACGCTACTGCGGGTCGGGTAATACCCGCCCCATCGCGGGTAAGGTCGGTTAATACCCGTGGGCGGGTTGAAATTGCCATCACTATATCTAATAAAATTTTTTTTGTTTTGTTTTTTGACAGAGGTGATTGAAAAAGTGAGAGCAAAACTATCTGATTTGATGGCGGCAGCACCATTAGTTGTACGTGGTAATAAGAGGAACTACAGGGGCATCCAGGAGTTGCAGGGTGAGGTCCAACAAGTTCAGCAACTGATTGCCCAACAACGCCTGTTGCCCAACGGGAACCAAAATCTCATGCTCAACAACAATGTGCAAAAACTCCCTGATGATCACCAGCAGCAGCAATCGGTAAACAAAATCAGATTGATTAATATCATTAATTGATTTTATTGATGCTACGATTGATTCTTTTTGTTCTACGGGACAATGATATGAATTGATTTTGGCAGGGCCGCCATCTCCTGCTGCAGCCACAACAGAGCTATAATTTTCCAGCTGCTGCTGCTGCCAATGGCGCTTCTTCCTCACTGGCCAACAATCGCATCAACTCAGCAAGCCCATATTATTTTACCTTTCCGTGATCTTTGCATGCATGCGTATGCTAGACTATGAAATGATGAGAGGATCATATCTTTGCTGAATAATCTCTTTTTTCTTTTCTTGCGAACAAAGACTACATATGAGGTGGTTGAGGGAGGCCAGTGACCTCTTACAAAACTGAAAACTCTGTTGTCGGAAGGAATCTTTTCATCTATTTCTATGAATTTGTTGGGATTCAGTCTTTTTTTTTTAATTAGTTAAATTACAATTTTATATGCGTATTGAGGTCACCGTCCATTTTATATAAATAAATTATTACGTTGATGGGATCATCGTTACAAATCTCGCTCGTCAAGCTGATGACTGAAAAAGTCGAATTTGTAACGACTATGGTCATTTAAAAAAGTCAATTCATTAGGATAGGCAAAATAATCCATCTTTGGCTACCCAACAAAGTTCAAACCAATTATATTGGGGAAAATTTGAGCAGAGTGTTTTTTTTTTTTTTTTTGGCTCAGCTAGCTTCTAGACAAGGTACAAGAACAATCTCACAGCGAGGAGGCATAGGTCGAACTTTGGCCGAACCAAGTTATATTCCCGGTTCGGTTCAAAATTTCGATAGAGCCCAAACTTCCCCTGCCCTTCCTCTTTTCTTTACGCTCTCTTCCTCATTTCTCCGCACAGCTTCCTCCCTCTACCCCAACAAACATGTTTCTTCCTCTACCAGTTAATTATCAAACGACCACTCCATCTCCCTCAAATCTCTGTTCTTCTTCCACCCCTTCTTTTTCCCGAAAATTCGTCTTCCATGAAGTTGAGCAGCGAGAAGGTTCAAAATATGTTGTGGCAAGATCTGGAGGACTAGAACGAGAAGTGCCTCTTACCCATCGTGCCTTCTTTGCCTTCTCCTCCACCGGCGATCTACGTCTTGAACTTTGCCTCCACTGAGGAAGGAATCGGAGATGGATGGATGATGGTGATGAGGGTGTGGGCTGCTGGTGGCAATTCTCCTTTGCCTTTCTTTCTTCTTGCCAACTGCATACGGTTGTGGCATCCTCCTCGAACAAACGCTATGATATTTGCTGGTGGCGGGTGATTGAATTGAAGTGGGTAATGCTAGATTTGATTGAAGGGAGGCAGGGTCGGACTTGGTAGTTGGTGGCGACATTGGATTGAAGGAGAGCAAGGTCAGAGTTCAGAGATGTAGATTAGGATTGGGTTTGGGGGTTGGGTATGTTGGTGAGGGAGAGTGGGCTGTCTTGGAGAGTGAGATGTGATGGGGATCGATGTGGGTCGTGACCCGCGATGGGAGTGGATTGTGAGGGAGAGTTGGTTTTCTTGGGTTTTGATTTATTATTTTTGGTTTATTGGTTCAGAATTCGGAATTAGAATTCGGTGGTGCAAACCCTGATTTCCAAAATATGACTTTCTTCCGAATTCCGAACTGATTAGTGAAAATTTTGATTTCGTTCGGTTCGGGCTTGATTCAGAAGTGTGAACCCAAACCGGATGCCAACTCCTAGTTGTACCTACAAAGCCTGCAAAGCAACCAAATGGAAAGTCGCATGCCTAACAAGTCCATGAAAGAAGGTCAGCCGGCCGATACTGGATAAGATCAAGTACATGTGGCAGGTTGGTAGCTAAGTGTCGTCCCACCATCATTTCGGTTGAAACAAAATCTTCCTATTAAGGACTTCCTCCAACACTACCTTTCCATTCCTAACAAGAGCTGTGCAAAATCCACCTATGTAGAACCTCAATGGAGTTCGAAAATGAGAACTCTGAGACACAAGGATGGCTCACAACGGTTTAGACACGAAAAAAAGGATAGGATCGTTCTATCAATCACCATTAAGCTTAAAAAGCAGCAAACTCCTAACAAAAGAACCACCCTAAAGTCACACGACTCAAAGGAGTTGACTAGGTGATAAGATGTTTTGGAACAATCAACTTTTGGGCGTGGACTAATCATATGCCTCCGTCATACTCACTAGTGACAACGGCGAATGTTGAGGGATCTATCACACTTGAAAAGACGATCGACACAAAACTCACATGTATCTAATCACCCAATCATCCAATCCAATTTTCACAAATTTCGATATATGGCAATTGCAATCAAGGAGTAATCAAGTCAAGACATCCATTCATTTGCACACATATGATAACTAAACACTTGCACCAACCTAATGCACTTCTCAATCATCATAATAGGATGCACTTGATCACGAGCAATCAATTCAAGGTCAATGGCAATAAACATGAGATTCTCAACCAACCGGCCACTATGATCAAGCATTCACTCACAAAATTACATGCCAATCACAAATGATACCCCCCCCCCCCCCCCCGGACACACACACTTAAGAACGACATTGTACTCAATGGAGAAAAAGGGTAGGGTGAAGAAAGTTACTGAACCATTGGCAAGCGAAAGTTAGACAAGTTCTAGGGTAGAGGATTTAAGCTTAAAAGAGAAGAAGTAAACACAAGCACATTCTCGCTTGAGGCGAGGTTATTACATATAACAATATTCAACATCATGATTAAACACAAGAAAATCTCACAATAGTACTTGTTCACACGCTAAAAAAAGAAAAATAACAAAGATCAGAGTTTCAAGTGGAGAAGTGGGCTGAAAGAAATCGGCTCTGCCACATGTCTCACTCGGTCGACTACTTCATTCACGTCGTGATCACTCATCATCGTAGGACAAGACTCTCTGTCATCGATCCATCCACTCCAGAAGAGTATTGGATCTATCCAACAGTGTGGATACCCCTATTAACTGCTCCTCGAGGTGAGTGACTCGATCCTCGAGGTGGAATACGAATGTGGAAGGGCCTGCTTCAGCCAATGAGGACGATGGTGGTGGTACAGGGTGACGACGACAGTGCTGTCATGGATGAGCAGGTGGAGCCTCTGCTGGATTGGGCTCCACCGGCGCAGGTTCCACATGCGGTCTCAGTGCAGTCAAAGGTTAGAGTCCCTCAAGGTACTCCACTCCCTGCTCTTTCTGGAACACCAATCACATGCCATCAACGACTTCTTACCTTGCTTCTTATCTTCAAGAATAACATTAATCAACCGGTCAATTTGGCAGCAAGTGGAGGACTCACTTCCGTGGAGTGTACTCCTCTCTTGGCATCCCTTACACCACTTCTCATCAAACCCCAATCATACCCTTGTGTCGCCATATCTTCAAGCAATTGGGTTAGTTCGGGTGGAGTCTGGTTCATCAACTTCCCTTGACATAGAGAGTCAATGAGAATCTTGTCTTCTTGGTGGAGACCGTCATATAAAGTCTCAATCCGAAACTGTTCTACAAATCCATGATGTGGGTATTGTAGAAAAAAGTCAGAATACCTCTCTCATGCATTCTTCAATGTCTCATCCTCCTCTTGGGCAAAATGGGTGATCTTCTTGTGCCACTTCGCTGTCTTGGAAGGTGGACAATATTGGGCCATGAACTTGTTTAGCAAGTCGTCCCATGAGGTAATTGAGAGGGGTGGTCTATTGTTGAGCCATCTGAGCACATTCCCCGCTAGAGAGTAGGGGAATAGCCTCAACTTCAAAGCATCCTTGGGTACCCCATTGATCTTCAAACTTCCCGCAATCTCGATAAACCTCTGAACATGCTCCCTCGGAGACTCATCTCTAAGCCCATGGAATTTCACATTGTTTTGGATCATTTGTTGAGGCTTGGCTTGATCTCGAAATTGTTGGCGGCCACGGGTGGATGCAAATGGTCGGTTGAATATCTGCCGCCTGTGGAGTCATGTAGTAGCACATGGTCCTCGTTCCATGGGTTAATTTCACCTGCTAGAATATGAAACATACTAAAAATAACCACAACCTAGCGTAAAACCAAACCTCGCGGAGTAAAAGTACCTCAAACATCTAAGGATAAAGGGGGTAAAAAGTGTACAAATAGACCCAAATCACCCGACCCACACATTAAGGTTTTGAAAATACCAAATTCAAACCCACCCAAAAATTTAGAACTCTACGGTTTGTTTATAATTTGGTTGGGTCGGAGATACTTTTAATTAAATACCCAACCCAACTAAAAAAAGAGACAACTATTCTACAAATAAAAGTTATATAAACTAATTCCCATAAAAAAATTTATATAAACTAATTAAATTTTTAGAAAAATAAACCGAAATGAAAAATATGAAAAATGCATAAATGGTATTTGGATTTTAATGAAATACAATTTGCTTCAAAATAAGTCTAGTATTTCTCACAAACGTTTGTCGAAATAAACTAAAATGATTATCAGTGAACAAATTCATAATATATTATTCTTTTAAAATTCTACACTAAAAAATTTATGTGAATTGTAGCCTATATTAAATATACATCTAAATTTTAAGTAGAATAATTTATTACATTAGTGAACCACAAGAGAAAATTATGATAAAATATCTAAAGTTTCTTAAAATATGTTTTGATTATGAACATTTATGACAATAGTTGGAACACGGGCTGAGTCTGATTCTATGGGCTGCGTAACCCAACATCCACACCCAACTCATTAGATGCGAGTTGTACAAAATATAATCTTCACCCAACGTTACATTTTAATTTTAGCAATAAATACGAATGAATTGAGTCAAATTGGACAGATAAGTCAGTTTGCAGGTTGTTTGTTCACTCCTACTCATACTAGTTATTATAAAAAGTTGAGACCATTTTTATCATCATTAAATGTTGACGACAAAGTTATCCATTTGGTAAAAGTTGAGGTCTTCTTTCTCTTCCAATACCTCTTTTTTTTTTTTTTTTTTGTAACAAGACATACACCAATGGTGTCTAAGCACTACTAGTAATAGAACGTTCTTGGGACAAGCCCATTACATCATACAATAACAAGTACCGGAGTCCTGGGTCATTTGAGTAAACAAAATGTGTGCCAAAATGCAGACTATGCCTTTTCTTGGCTAGACAGTCAGCAGCAAAATTGCACTCTCTATAGGTGTGGGAAATAGAGACTTGCCAGTTCAGTGAAAGCATACGATTAATTTCCAAGGCAAGAATTCCATGTCTGTGGTCAGTATCCTGCACATTTTGAATGATATTGATTGCCATGGTAGAGTCCAGGCAGATGATAACTCGTCGAAATCCCCTTTTCCATGCTGCAGAGAGCCCCGCTTCCACTACTTTCAATTCAGCTCCCGTGATTGAACAGGATCGCAAGTTAATTGCAAAGGCTTCAAGGCATCGACCCCATTGATCTCTGATGAGGCCTCCTGCTGCAGCTTTGTCTCCTGCAAGCACAAATCCATCAGTGTTGATCTTCATCCATCCCTCCTGTGGGGGAGTCCATCCCAGACTATGTATCTCCTTTCTGATGGGCTCCTCACTGCAAATCTTTTTGTTCAGAACTTGTGATTATCGAATAATGTTAAATTAAGAAAGGATCCTGTGCAGGAAGCTTTGCTCGTTGAAAGCTTTCCCCTCCATTGCTTCTTCATTTCTCTGTTTCCAAATCTGCCAAAGGATAATGCCAAAATCAATACCTTTCTCCTCGCACTTGATGTTCTTGACCATCCACTGCTTGAAGGGGGAGGACTGGCTTTGTTCAGTGACAGAGTGTCTAAGCATTCTCCATAAATTCTCCGTCTTCTTGCACTTGTGTAGGACATGTTCGACTGATTCATCCTCGCTATTACATGCTGTATGTGGACACTTTCCATCCGTTGTAAGATTCCTTCTCACTCTCTCTTGATTCTTCAACAGTCTTCCATGCAATGTCAGCCAAAAGGAAGAACTTGATTCTGTTGGGGCCTTTCCACGTTCAGAGTTGCTTCTAGTCCCCTTCCTGCTCCTGCTCCAGCTCGTTCGCCACCAGGTAATACGCAGATTTGAGATGAAAGCGCCCATCAGGTTAAATGCCCCAAATCGTGGTATCCTCACCAAGGTCAGGATTGGGGGTTGGAGTACCTGCAATAAGAGAAAGTATATCATTAGGTAGTTTGCCAACAAGCTTGTCCCAATCCCACTCTCCCGATTTTGTTGCCCAATTACATACGGGTTCTTCCCTTTCATGTTCTGGAATGCCAATGAGCAGGAAGTCTTCCAGAACCAGCCCTGCCTCCAACCACGGTTGTGTCCAAAAGCTAGTGCTTCGTCCATCTCTGATGCTCCAACATGTAGCAGACTTCATCAACGACATGGCTTTGAGGATCACTTTCCAGAGTGGGGAGTGATTGCTCTTCTTCATTGAGGCGATCTTCCCATCCCTATGCTTGAAGTACTTTCCCTGGAAAACCTGGACCCATAAGGAATTCTCATTATTCAGAATCTGCCAGGCCAACTTGACCATGAAAGCCATGTTGAGGCTTCTGGCAGATCTAATACCCAAACCCCCTGATCCTTCGGTTTACAAAGGTCCTCCCACTTGACAAGGTGGGCTTTTATTTTGCCATCATGAGAACCCCACACGAAACCCCTATCTTCTTATCAATTTCATCACAAACAGACATGGAGAGAAAAGAGGTTTGCATAGCATAAATCGAAATCGCATTCAAGACAGAAGTGGCAAGGGTGGCTCTCACTGCCAAGGATAGTGTTCGAGCTTTCCACGAGCTCAGCTTAGAGTCAATAGTTTCAAGGATGTATCTGTAGGTATTTCTAGTGACTCTACCATGCGAGACAGTAACTCCAAGATATTTCCCTAGGTCATGGGTACTTTGGATGCCAAGACGGTTACTAATGCTAGTTCTATCAATGCTTTTTACATTCTTAGAGAAGAGGACACGAGACTTTTCTTTGCTTATGAGCTCACCCGAAGCCTCACAGAACTGCTCAATGCATTCCATGACCACCTCAG